AACGTAACTTCAATATAGAGCAATTAGAAGTCTCTTCTATGAAACTCTGCATTTTATTTTTCATATCTCTGGCAAATTTGCTTGCATTAAAACTGTAATTTTTATTCAGTTTTCTCTGCATTTTTGCATCAAAATTAAGCAATTTGAAAAAAAAAATCTGTATATTTATACGCCTCATTACGTCAAGGCTTCAATTTATATTATTTTTAGAATGCAAGTGGTTCCAGTATGAAATAATAATAAACACTTCGATTCGAGGTAGAAATATTGGTAAATTTTTACGAAGTTGGAAAATAAAATATAGAGTTCAGGGACTCTCAAACCTATTTTCAAAGAACAAAGGATAAGCTCTTGAAATTTCTTATTAAAACCATTTTTATTGAAGGCTTAATGTCTACAAAAAATAATCATGGTCATGGAACTTTTGTATTGCTGTGACGTCCATTTCATTTGAATTTTTATTCCACATTTTCCCAGTATTGGATGAAATCACGAAATGTCCTCGACATTTCAAGAGCCATTATTTTCGCCACCAAGTAATAATTGACCTATTTATCTACTCTCCAACGTGTGTTAGGGGGCGTCAAAAAAATAGGGCAAAACGTAAATTAAAATGCGCCCTTAATATTTTATGTCGTCCAGGATTAAATGTTCGAGGACGATCGTTATAATGATGATTATTGTGAGAGCAAGAGGGCATAAATCCTAGTAGAATCGAAAACAATAATCTATGACTGTTAATACAAAAATTTTGATTACATTATTTCTTATATCTGTGTGATCTGATTTAGCAAGTGGTAATTGCTAAAAATAATAGAGGAAAAAATTAGAATAATAGTAGGGGAAAAGAAATATAGTGAAGTGAAGTAAGTTGGAGAAATAAAAATGTATAAATATTTTCTCGTATTTTTCAATTTTCCTGGTATTTTTTGTAACTATTTACAATTCCAAATTTTTATTTTTTTTTTTAATTTCTCTTACCATAACTCCTATGTATCTACTTTCTATATTTTCTTATTTTTCGGTATTTTTTGAATTTTGCCTTATTTTGCTGCATTACCCAAAGTTTTTCCAGTAACCAACTACTTTGTTGGCATTTTTGAATTTTTATTTATCCCTTGTATGTTTTTTCTTATTTTTTTAAAAATATTATTTGTATTTTGTTGTCTCATTCACTGTAAAAATCACAGTGTTGATGCCAAAACAAAGAGGCTGAAGATGCTAAAGAAAATTAAAAAAGGAAATCTGGGTAATATTAAAAAAAAATTAGTAAATTAGGACAAAAATTGAAAATTTAAAACAGGGAGGGAAGCCAAAACAAACTGAAAAACGAGCTGATTGACTTAATTCTACAAAAAAAAAAAAAAAAAAAAAAACTGAAAAATGGAACGAGAAAAATCAAGGAGGGTGAAAATTGCAAAAACAATGAAAGAGAAGCCTGAGAAAAAGAATTATTTTGAAGTAAAATTTAGAAAAAAGTCGAAAAAGAGCTGATAAAAGGAGAGAAAAAAGTGGTCAAAACGAAACCCGAGAAAAATCAGGGGAAATATGGAAAAAGAAAGATGGATCCTCCATTAATTTTTCTTGAATTTCTTCGTTATTTTACGTATGTTATCAGTGGCGCACCTAGGAGGGGTGCTATCGGGCCAGCCCCCCCCCCCCCCCCCCAGGCCGCCTCTTTAAAACTGTATATTAACGTTTAAAACATGTTACAAAATCAGGGCGTGACACCCTGAGACCTCAATTTTTTTTTTCTTCAGATTTTCAGTCACAAACCACAACCTATGTAGGGCCCTCTCAAACATATTTTCTGGGTGCGTCACTGTATAATATCACCTTCTCTCCTTAATTTAATTAAGAATCTCAATAATTTGAAATTTTGTCTTTTTACTACTTTTATTTGAATTTTTGAAAACTTTGAAAAATCATAACTTTTTTTTTACAAATCTGAGAATAATTTAGTGTATGGAATTTGGAGTATGTTGATTGACCATTAGGATACAAAATCTCGACAAAAAAAAAATTGAAATTTCATCGGTTTAGTAAGAACCTTATGATTTAGATTTTGGAGAATTTTGAAAGGTCATAACTTTTTTTCTATTATAGATAGAACGCTGAAACTTTCATTGAATTTTATCCCTTTCACAGGACTACAATCCCTGATAATTTCAGCTCATTTGTACTTATAGTTCCTGAGATAAAATCGTGTTAAACAATTTGTGGTGGTTTATCAATTTTTCAATTTTTCTGAGTGCCTCTTTTCATAGATTTCGGCTCCAAATCTGAGAATAATTTGGTATATGGAGTTTGGGTTATGTTGATTGACCATTAGGATACAAAATCTCGACAAAAAAAAAATTGAAATTTCATCGGTTTAGTAAGAAGGGACCTACCTTATGATTTAGATTTTGGAAAACTTTGAAAGGTCATAACTTTTTTTCTATTATAGATAGAAAGCTGAAACTTTCACTGAATTTCATCCCTTTCAAAGGACTACAATCCCTGAAAATTTCAGCTCATTTGCACTTATAGTTCCTGAGATAAAATCGTATTAAGCAATTTGGGGTGGTTTATCAATTTTTCAATTTTTCTGAGTGCCTCTTTTCATAGATTTCGGCTCCAAATCTGAGAATAATTTGGTATATGGAGTTTGGGTTATGTTGATTGACCATTAGGATACAAAATCTCGACAAAAAAAAATTGAAATTTCATCGGTTTAGTAAGAAGGTACCTACCTTATGATTTAGATTTTGGAAAACTTTGAAAGGTCATAACTTTTTTTCTATTATAGATAGAAAGCTGAAACTTTCACTGAATTTCATCCCTTTCAAAGGACTACAATCCCTGAAAATTTCAGCTCATTTGCACTTATAGTTCCTGAGATAAAATCGTATTAAGCAATTTGGGGTGGTTTATCAATTTTTCAATTTTTCTGAGTGCTTCTTTTCATAGATTTCGGCTCCAAATCTGAGAATAATTTGGTATATGGAGTTTGGGTTATCTTGATTGACCATTAGGATACAAAATCTCGACAAAAAAAAAATTGAAATTTCATCGGTTTAGTAAGAAGGGACCTACCTTATGATTTAGATTTTGGAAAACTTTGAAAGGTCATAACTTTTTTTCTATTATATATAGAAAGCTGAAACTTTCACTGAATTTCATCCCTTTCAAAGGACTACAATCCCTGAAAATTTCAGCTCATTTGCACTTATAGTTCCTGAGATAAAATCGTATTAAGCAATTTGGGGTGGTTTATCAATTTTTCAATTTTTCTGAGTGCCTCTTTTCATAGATTTCGGCTCCAAATCTGAGAATAATTTGGTATATGGAGTTTGGGTTATCTTGATTGACCATTAGGATACAAAATCTCGACAAAAAAAAAATTGAAATTTCATCGGTTTAGTAAGAAGGGACCTACCTTATGATTTAGATTTTGGAAAACTTTGAAAGGTCATAACTTTTTTTCTATTATATATAGAAAGCTGAAACTTTCACTGAATTTCATCCCTTTCAAAGGACTACAATCCCTGAAAATTTCAGCTCATTTGCACTTATAGTTCCTGAGATAAAATCGTATTAAGCAATTTGTGGTGGTTTATCAATTTTTCAATTTTTCTGAGTGCCTCTTTTCATAGATTTCGGCTCCAAATCTGAGAATAATTTGGTATATGGAGTTTGGGTTATCTTGATTGACCATTAGGATACAAAATCTCGACAAAAAAAAAATTGAAATTTCATCGGTTTAGTAAGAAGGGACCTACCTTATGATTTAGATTTTGGAAAACTTTGAAAGGTCATAACTTTTTTTCTATTATATATAGAAAGCTGAAACTTTCACTGAATTTCATCCCTTTCAAAGGACTACAATCCCTGAAAATTTCAGCTCATTTGCACTTATAGTTCCTGAGATAAAATCGTATTAAGCAATTTGTGGTGGTTTATCAATTTTTCAATTTTTCTGAGTGCCTCTTTTCATAGATTTCGGCTCCAAATCTGAGAATAATTTGGTATATGGAGTTTGGGTTATCTTGATTGACCATGAGGATACAAAATCTCGACAAAAAAAAAATTGAAATTTCATCGGTTTAGTAAGAAGGGACCTACCTTATGATTTAGATTTTGGAAAACTTTGAAAGGTCATAACTTTTTTTCTATTATATATAGAAAGCTCATTTGCACTTATAGTTCCTGAGATAAAATCGTATTAAGCAATTTGGGGTGGTTTATCAATTTTTCAATTTTTCTGAGTGCCTCTTTTCATAGATTTCGGCTCCAAATCTGAGAATAATTTGGTATATGGAGTTTGGGTTATGTTGATTGACCATTAGAATACAAAATCTCGACAAAAAAAAATTGAAATTTTTCTGAGTGCCTTTTTTCATAGATTTCGGCTCCAAATTTCAGAATAATTTAGTGTAAGGAGTTCGGGGGATCTCAAAGGAACATTAGGACACAAAATCTCCATTAAAAAAAAAAATGAAAATTTCATCATTTGGACTTACAGTTCTAGAAATAAAATCGTTAGAGGAAAATGTTGAAAGATGAAAAAATTTGAATAAAAATCTGCAGAATAAAATTGAAAGGAAAGCGACGAAAAAATAGGTTCAAAAACACCGAGGGAAGATGCCGATAAAAGATCTGTGCGAAAACGTAAATAAATGATTAAATGAAAAAAGATTATAGGGAGATAGCATGTAAAGAGCTGAAAGAATTGGAATAAAAGCTGAAAAAGTGCCAAAAATGTGTGGATAAAAGAAAAATGTGGAAAGTTAATTCATGTTGCAAACATTAAAAAAAAAATCTGAACGGAAAGACGTAGGTAAGTATAAAATCAGGGAAAAACTCAAAAAAGAAAAAAGCTAAAAATAACAGCAAAAATACAGCTGTGTATAATTGATTGTTTTAATTCAAAATAATTTTAGTCAAAACATTTTGTTGTTTGTTCTTGGATGTCTGAGCCATATTATGATAGAGTTAAAAGCAAAATTGGAACTTACTTGAGAAACATACAAACTCCGGTACTTTCCATCGCCCTGCTGATCCCTTTCCACGAGGCCATCATGTTGTATTTCTGTTTGGCGGTCAGAGGCAGCCGGGGGTCGACTTGCTGCTGGGGCGCGGCCTCGTCCAGTTTCCGGCTACCGTTCCGATTATCCCGGCTCGCTAATTTACCCAATTCGCAACCCATATTTTTACGATAATTGAAAAACCAGCCCTTTCGAATTTATTCCATGATTTTACACAATAAAACACTAAATTTTTTGGTATTTTAAATTAAGTTTTGTACATATTTAAACACTAAAATCACACACTTAATCTAAGATACTTTTGACTTTGGATCGTGCTCATCTGGAACAAAAATAGAAAAATTTTTAGTTCGTTATTCAAAGGAATGATGGTGGATTAGTTAATCGGCAAAAAAAAAATATAAGTAAAGTTTAATGTGCTTCTGTTGATGATTGCGACGTCATCGGCTAAGTAAACTAACTTCACCTTGAGTTTTTTTTTTTGTCGGATTATTTGATTTTCTATTTAGAGGTATATGATTGGTATCTTCTATTAGAAAATTGGATTTTTTTGATACAAAAATACACAACACAAAAATTAATTAGTTGTGCAAAACAAAAAGCTACTAAAATAATAAAAAAAATCTTGCCTATAATGATCTCAAAATATCCATAATACACTAAAAAAATACTTAAACTTATTTATTACAGAAAAAATGATATACAAACAGTGACACAACCACAAATGAAAGATACACCAAGAAACCCATGTAGGCTTGACCGTGATTTGATATTTTAAAATATCATTAACACTATACTTACTTATCTTAATGGAAATATTGTTTGTTTTTTTAAGAAAGAATTTGTAATGTACCTGACCGAGATTTTTATTTTTCATTTTCATTTATATACTTCGTTTAAATAGTTGTTAATTTATAAATAATAAATAAAGTTACTTTTTGCGTCACATAAACATATCATCGGTTAAAGAAAATTTAAATTTCCAATCGAGCCGCAATTAATAATTGGCGGTTTTCCGGTTTCCAAGTTTAGAATGTCGTTACGCAATTTTCTTCCTTGCCAGACGCTTGTTATTCCAACTTGCGTATAGACGTGCTTTGAACTGAATTTTAAATTTATCCTCCCCGGATACTTCAATAAAGCGTCGATTGAAAAATACTTTTTGGCAATCAAAATCAAAGTTTTCGATAAATTGAATGTTTATTTTAATGTCCCGGATTTTCAATAAATTATGTCTAATTGTTACACGGATATGCTTAAAATCTGCCAATTGAAAAACGAAGTCAAATGGGATTTTCGCAATTTTTGGTCCCAAGAAATTTCAATTATCTAGCTTTCAAAAATCACTTGTAGGTTATTTAAATCTTAGTGAACACTGGCGTATCCAGGGGGAGGCAAAGGGGGCAATTGCCCCCCCCCTCCCCAGAGCAACATCTTTTTATTCCTTTTATTTTTTAAGAATTTGTCAAATAATAAAAAAATAAATTCAAAAATGTTAATAAATAATAAATACTTTTTTCAACTATTTACATGAACAGGTAGCTTTTTTGTAAATAGCAACTGTTCAGTTGTACGCTGTGATTGACAATCAGGGAATAAAAGTTAAAATACTAGTTTTATATTCAGCGTAATGTATATTACTAGCTGTCTAGCGCTTTCGCCTTTGAGAATTGAGCCATCATCACTCATCAGGGCTCAGACTTTATTAAAAGGCGACACCACCAGTGGCGGCTCGTCAAAGGAGGCAGGAGAGGCTAAACCTCCCCCAAAAAATTGAAAATTCAATCTCAATTTTTTATTCCTGATTTCTAATTAAAATAATAATTAACAAATTGTAACGTTTTCAATTTCTTGGCTAATAAGCTACCTTGTTTTGCCATACTGGATATGATTCCATATAGAGCTACAATGAAATAAATGAATAAACAACTATCTTTTTTGTGCCCAGATTTTGTTACCTTGAGTGCTGCCTTCTACTAGAAGTTTTTTTAGTTCAGGTTTGCAAGTTTGGTTAATTGATCTGGGAAGGTTTGATTCAGTACGGCAGGGCCCGCTGTTATTGATTAGAATCTTAGGAAAAGGAGTTAGTACCATCATCATCTCTGTTTGCAAATCCAATCAATAATCTGAGGTTATGATAATAATTGTTGTTTACTCTTTGACTTTTCATTTCCATCATGTCATTGAACAGCTGTTTTGTCTAGGCGTTTTCTTTAGACCTGTTCTACCTTTTGATATATGTTCTATAAGCTCTTTTCGACATTCACCAGTCATTTTTTACACAACCGATTCTCAGTTCGTACTTTTGGGGTGAAACTGAACACGTCCTTTTCTATAATTTTCTTCAATGTCAAAATTAGAAGTTTGACAGATGAATGTCTTCTTCCGAAATCTAAATTCTAAATGAAGAATCTGCCCTTTTGATCTGCGACCTCACGCTGAGTAGTCGTCCGGTCTCGGGCCTCGGCCCTAATTATTTTTGGGGCGAGACTTTTTGGAATTTTGTGCCAGGGAGCTCAAGTTTTAGACTAATTTCTTGCTGATAATTGTCTAGAGTCGTCCCTTGGTCATTTTTGGATTCTGTTTCGGTAAGTTTGAGATTTTCTTCAGGAAATATTAACCTACAACACGTGTTCCATTTTTTTTAATAGGACTGTTCTGAGCAGCATTTGAAAGTTTAAGACTTCACCTTTGGTCTAGAGTATCCCTCAATTTGAGGTAAGATTATTTCTAATATTTGGGGCTCGATTTGTTTTTTTATACGAACATCGTTATAGGGTCCTACTCTCAGGCTATAGTTGGACAGTTGCTAAGCTGTATTTAGAGAGATTCTAGACTGGATCTAGATTGCTCTCAGTTGGGGCTTTGGTAGCCTTTCTTCAGCAACTCTATTGGTACCACTCTGCTAGAACCACATTGGGTTCTACGTTAAACAGATACAACGTGGATAGGACTCATTACTCACTTACCATATCATAGTCTATCTAATAGTGAGACCAAACCTGTAGATAGCCTCACTTTGAGAATTTCTGGATTTTCACATGCATTTCACTTGTATACATGTAAATTGCACTTTTACTATTTAGGCAAATCATATATAAATCATCTGACGCCAAATTATTGTTCGTCGATTTTTAACTGATACTTGCGGTATGAGGAGCGAGGGGGTGTTTCATATGGCAAAAACAGGTGTGACGTCAGGTAACCATTGGCGTTCTAATGTAGGGAGCCACCAGCTCACATTCCGTCCGAGTATGTACAAGTTTTGTTATAACATCAATAAGTAATCTTCCTAGTTAAGTCACAATTAACTTGGTGGCGCCCAAAAGTAAGATGTATACAAGGAACCCATAGACCCATGGCCTCCGGACTGATGCTGACTAGCCGTATGCAGTATAATTAGGCAATTGCCAAAAAAAGTACGTTATAAAATTACACTTCCCAATTTTCGATATTTCAATGTAATTTAGAAAAATCTGACAACATTATTTCAATCAATCCCGCGCCTCCAAGACAAATCTCTGTGAATCTGGGATACTCAGTAATACCGGCCCGAAGGGCCGGAGTTATATGCGAGCCCGAAGGGCCGGAGTTATATGCGAGCCCGAAGGGCCGGAGTTATATGCGAGCCCGAAGGGCCGGAGTTATATGCGAGCCCGAAGGGCCGGAGTTATATGCGAGCCCGAAGGGCCGGAGTTATATGCGAGCCCGAAGGGCCGGAGTTATATGCGAGCCCGAAGGGCCGGAGTTATATGCGAGCCCGAAGGGCCGGAGTAATACGAGCTCGAAGGGCTAGAGTTATACGCGAGCCCGAAGGGCTAGAGTTATTTTAATCACGGGGCCTAGTTTATAATTCTATTGGTCAGCGGATAATTTAGAGCTAATTAAAAACCGGGAGTATTTAAAATGCGATTTTGAGCGTCCGATCAAAGAGTCGGGAATATTCAAAAACTTTAGTTTTATCAAATTGGCTTTGGAATGTTGGTTTTCTTAAGATTTTTACTTTTTTCAGAAAACGGTGGTTTTTGCAAACATATACTACTTTATCATTGTCTTTGTCTTACTCACTATAATCAATAAGGAAACCTTGTAATGTCATTTTCATTAAAATTAAACTAAAAACAAGTTTCCTATGATTTATTTGGGGAATTTTAATTATTATAATCATTATTAATTAATTATTAAATTGAATTTTAAACAAAAAACCCTTTTAAAATGTTATTAATGTTTTCCGAAATGAGATGTGGCAACGTTGCTTTTAGTTGGCCATTTTGAAGTGACGCCTTGTAATTTTTTGCCAGTTTTTCCTCGAATTTTTCACTTTTCCGGGGCTTTTCAATGGAAAAAGGCAATTTAACATACGAGGCTTTGAGTTTTCTTCATTTTCTAGCAAAAATGTCCAGTTTTAAAATGACATAAATAATAAAATCCCATTTAAAATGTTTTTTTTTGAAGTTTTGATGTGGCAACACCGTTTGTACCAACTTCGAATAGGTTTTGTAATAAATGTCATTTGCCAGTTTTGACAGTCGGCAATTTTTAATTGACGTGTTCACATTTCTATCCAGTTTTTCCTCGAATTTTCCGCTTTTCCAAGCCGTTTTCAGTCAAGAAAATAGATTTGAAATACGAGGCTTTGAATTTCCTACATTTTGTGCTAAAAATTCCCAGTTTTCCAATGGGGTAAGTGACAAAAACTCAAATTTCATTAAGTAGGCTTTAAAATGTCATTTTTAGAGGTTCTTCTTTGAATTTGTCCGCTTTTCCAGAGCTTTTCTGGTCGGAAAAACCGATTTAAATTACGAGACTTTGAGTCTTCTTCATTTTCCACCAAAAATTTCCAGTGTTTTAACGGGGTAAGTGAGAAAAACTTTAGTTTTATCAAGTAGGTTTTGGAATGTCATTTTCGTTGTTTTTTTTTTTGAAATTTTTATTTAAGGTTTTTGGGGTCCGGGGATCGTTTTCTATCACTTTTTTTCTCGAAATTCGCAAAATAAAAAAAGCTTTTTTGACGTTGACAGCTGTCAATTTTTTTTAATACAAATCGATAGTTAGCGTCGCGAAACTGCCTTGTACCGGGGTTTGATTTTCGTAGCTTTTATAGTAGAGCGGAGAAAAAGTCGAACATGTGTCAAATTTGACAGATGACATTTGTTGATATTGTCAAAGTGTCGTGCGAAAAAAGTTTTATCCGAACGAACCCGTTCATTGTTAACTGATTTTTCATACTCCGGCCCCTTGGGCCGTAATCTTTGAAACAAAAAGACGTCATTTTGTATCGATTGTCAAAAAAACTCAAGGTTTGAAATTTCAATTTTTTGA